CTGTGTCTCTCTCTGTCAAATAAATAAATAAAATCTTAAAAAAAAAAAAAGAATTTCAAGCAAAGAAATAGATGTAAATCGTTATTAGGAAAGTATTAAGTGCCTAGTCCTCTACTTTGAAGAGCATATGTGTTCAGTAATGTCTTTTATTTTTTTAAGATTTTATTTATTTATTTGATAGAGAGCAACAGAGGGAGAGAGGGAACACAAGCAGGGGGAGTGGGAGAGGGAGAAGCAAGCTTCCTGCCGAGCAGAGAGCCCGATGTGGGGCTCCATCCCAGGACCCTGGGATCAGGACCTGAGCCGAAGGCAGACGCTTAACGACTGAGCCACCCAGGCGCCCCTGCTTGAAATTCTTCTTTATTTAACTCTCAATAAAATGTGAAATTAGAGCAAATAGAATACCATTCTTACATTCAGTTTCCCTCAGATAAGATATAATAACATATACATTTTTTTGTCACTGCAAATTGATCCAAGACAAAACTAAGTAGATCACAATGGCTGAAGCAGAAATATAGATGTGTATATATAAACTCTATGTCTGATCCAGATCTCTCCTGGCTTGTCCCTTCGGTTGGTATTTATATCTTCTTTGATGAGAAGAACCTCTAGGCCACTGAAGGTAATTCACCAAGTAGATAATCTACTTTGAAGTTTATTGACTCAACTAGAGAAGAATAATTCTGGGTGGGGCCAGGGATGGTCAAAGGCAAACTATGAATTAATGGAAGATTGTGCTGCATTCTGCTTTACAATGTCCCCTCTGGACCTCAAGAACTCTTACGTGACCTCCAGTTGCCCTGGACTCCCTACTGTTCTAAAGCATTGACTCATCTATTGACTTTCCCTGGCTTCCAACAGAATGTGAACAAAGGAGAAGTATCATAAAAAGAAAGATAATCAAAATAACCAGGAACATTCCTCTGAAGGAAGGATGTCCTTCTGAGCCACTCATTAATAAAAAAAGATTCAAAGATTTATTTTTCAATAACGGCCTTGGGAGGAGAAGTTCAGTGACTTTGTTAAAGATTTCCCTTTGGCTTAGATCTTACAGGACAATAAAATAAGAATCATTGTCTACAAATATAACAGCTACAAGGCCTGTGTTCATTAAATGTTAAATGATGATTGTAACAACAGTAGTAATAAACCACTTGCACATTTTTTAAATTAACTATTACCTTCCCTTTCTTTTCCTTCCTATATATCCTTTACTTTTTTTTCTTCAATTCTTTTGATTCTATGGATAATTTTTATTATAGATACATATAAGAATGATAATAAGAGGGTTTGTTAAGCACTGTTATTTTCTATTTTGAATAAAACACCTTGTACAGATTAACAAAGTAATCAAATACAATAAATAGCTATGGAGCAGATGATTCAGTTATTTTAGTTTTAAAAATTGCGCTAAAGCAGATCCAGAATTTAGCAGCTTGGTGTTCAGTTATTATTACTTTTGCCCTGAAATGATTGAATATTCAACTAGATTGCAGGTTATTTGAGGATATAGATTCTATACATTGATAGCATATTGGCCTTAGCACTTAGCAGATTTCTAGGAGGGAAATTAGTGAAAAAGGAGAATAGACACTTTCATTAAATGTCTAATATTGTGGCAAGCATCATGCTAGATACTTTCTGGTCATGATCTCCTTTAATCTTCTCAGCATCCCTACAACAGTACTGTTATTATATCCATCATTATTAATAATAAATCAGTATCTCCAACACTGAGCAAAGTGCTTGGCACACAGTGATCGTTTTATACTTGTTGAGGAATGAGTATGTATCAATTGGGTGTTCTTATCTGCAAGCATTGGAAACTCACTCTTGCTAATTTAAACAGAAAAGGAATATATTAAAGGATATCAGTTAGAGCACAGAATATTCCCCAGGACAGGATGGAAAGCCAGGTTTGGAATTCTCACAGTGAGGAACAATGTCCACAATCACAGCCCAAAAGTAGTCATTTGGAGACACATTGCTGCTGCTAGGTACACATGCCAACCTTTGTGCTTCTGGCACCAAACATGTAGGGCATTGAGTCTGTGACTGGAATCATTACCACTGGAAATTGGATGGAGCTACTCTATTATTGCTACACTGCCAAGATAGATTAGGTTCTGCTTTTTTGTGTCATCAGCTCTGATGTCAGAGTCTGACATAATGTGTTGATTGGAGGAACCCATAGGGCGCTGTTGAGAGTGAAAGGGTCCCTATTAAAAACTATGCTAGGGTAAAGCCTAAACCAGGACATATGGCCACTCTCTGCTAATCCTGTGCCCTCACTGCAAAGGAGGCTTGGAGAGCATTTTTTTCAGCTCCTATGATTAAACATGGTCTTAGCCTCTAGTCAGTACTCTCAGTATAGGGAATTCCCCAAATGTCCAAAGGGGTTATGAGGCTGGCTGAGCCAAAGAGAGGACAGATGCCCACTATTGAGTGAACAACTGGATGTTAAATAACTGTCTAAGGAAATATAATTAATGAGGTCTGCCTCACTCTAAAGCTTATCTTTTCATTACGCCATGTTGTGTATACTGTAGTATGATAATTCTCAGTTAAGGGTACATCAGAACCTCCTAAATAGTGTTGTAAACATACACAGTGCTAGACCCCACCCTAACCTATTGAACCAAAATCTCTGGGAATGATGCTTTAGCCAGGATCTGTAATTTTTAACATCTTACAGAGGAAAAAAATCAATTTAGAAGGAGATACTTGTGGAAATAAGGCCATGAGGATCTTTTGGATGCTTATGAGTTTCCTAAACTATTCCATTGTGCAAGGTAGATTTGATTAGATGCATTCCATAGAATTTATGGAAGCTAGAAGAAAGCCTGTTTAATGTGGTAATGGACAATAGAACAGAATTATAACTTTTTAAATTGGTTGCACTTAATTTCCTTTATTATTATCATTAATTGGAAATTTCCAAGAGTCTCTCAGGCACTTAGAAAAGTTCCTGACACTACACATGAGAAGGCTGAGACACAAAAGATTCCAGATAACATACTTTTCCTTTCTTGTTGATGACAGTGAATGCTCAGGACAATGAAGACCATGTCCCACTCCATTTCTGTTCTCGCTTTGGACACCATGATATAGTGAAGTACCTGCTCCAGAATGATAGTGAAGTTCAGCCGCATGTTGTTAATATCTATGGAGATACCCCTTTACACCTGTGAGTAACATGTATAGTTCCATGTGTCCTCCAGGTAAACCACATGTACCTTCTTACTATTACCAAAATATTTTCTTTAACTCTAGGGCATGCTATAATGGCAAATTTGATGTCGCCAAGGAAATCATTCAAATATCAGGAACTGAAAGCCTGACTAAAGAAAACATCTTCAGTGAAACCGCTTTTCACAGGTAAAAGAATGTTTAGGTTCAATAGCCACTAAGGGTAGCTGATACTCTTCAGCACCTGAAGTTGTATACATAAAGCAAGAACGGATAGTGGCAGATGTTGCAATCAGAGAGCAAGAGCAGAGGGTGGGCAGAGGACAAGGAGCCCAAGCTAGATGCACAGAAGAAAAGGTAGAGGCAGATGCTTCAGCCAGTACAACAGATGGGGCCAGAGCCAGATGCTGCTTTCCTGGCAGCAGCCGCAAAGACAGGGACTGATGTTGCCAAGGCAACAGGCATATCAACATCTGTAAGCATATTGCTTCTATTCCACTTCACTCTGCAGAAAGCTGCCAAAAGGGGCAGTGCCCATAATCCTCCTCCGACAAGAATCTCATTACCAGAATTCATCAGCATCAAATGTGACACTTTTTTCCTTACCACTTAAACCTTATGTGCAAATGTATCTATCTATCTAAGACATCCATCTGTCAGCCTGTAAAAGCCTAGTCAGGGTGGCCACTGAGATACCTAAGAAGGCATTAACTCCTTTCCAGGAATACATGAGAGTCCTTTACAGTGTGCTCTAGAAAAGGAGGGAAAAGGTTGCTAAAAATTCAGAGCCATAGCTCCCTAAAATACCCAAAAGATAGACAGATGTTTTATAAAATTTGAAACCCTCATTTTTAACAAATGAGTTACTATTTTGCTATAAAAATAAAAACATAGTACTTTGAATTTAGTAAACCTTGAATATAAGATCATTTACCTACACATTATAGATTTCTTGGCTAGCTTGCAACTTCTAAAAAATGTATTTGAGACTAATATGTTATTTACATAGTGTTTGTATTGCACTAGTGACTAATAGAAATGAGAAGACTTTTTCTTTATACTGAATTAATATTAAGCTTGTGCTTCCTGATAAGGCATCAATCTGTCAAATATTGCTTGGATGCTCAGATTTTTCTTATCAGAAAAAAAGATCAGCCAAAAAGGAGTTGAAGAAAGCTACCATTTATGGAGTAGTGAATATATGCCAGATGATTTGCATCCATCATCTCATTTAATCCTTATAACCATTTTATGAAGTGGGGTTTATTATTCTCTTTTACAGATGAGAAAACTGAGGCTCAGAGAAGCTAAATAACTTGCCAAAGAGTCTTATGACTAAGCAATCATGTATTAAATACCTGCCTGATTCCAAATTCTGTGCTTTTTATATATCTTCATGTTCTAGTGCCAAAATATTTTGTCTGTGTTCTACATGCTCTGTAACAGAATAGATGCAAAAACTCTTTAGATCATGCTTTCAGTCAAAATGGGTCAGTGGAATTTCTTCCCAAAAGGAAAATTGGCAGAACTGATATATATGGTTACTGGTGTCCTCTTTCCCCATTAGGTCATGCTTGTTAAGGCTGACACCTCAGGCTAGTTTTCAAATCATTTTGCTACTCTGTGCACATTAATTGGAACCAACTATAATCAAAGGATGATTGTCACCTTCAGAAGAGTCTATATGACAAGTTTAGTGAAGTGAGTTAAAAGTATGTATCCAATCATTTTATTTTGTGTAAGCCTGTGGCTACTAGGAATAACATATTAATATTTTTATTCTATTCATTTTAAGCACATATTTATAAAAGAAACTCTCCTTTTACATGAGTTTACTCTGGTTCTGAAATTTTTCTATGTAAAAGTCACAGTGCCTTGCACTCAATAGAAAGCATTCGATACATTTCTGTTATTGTTTTCATATGTATATATACACGTACACATATATACACACATATATACACCCATGCATATATATATTCAGAACTCATCAATTCCTGTAAATGGTTGCTTTGAAAAGAATAATGAGGCAGTTCAGACAATGGAACATTAAGAGTGTAGTGTTATGGGTCCTACTTACAACGCAAATAATTAATGGTGATATGATCTTTTGCACTAAGTGGTGGCTTTCTATTCACTCAATTATTCAAGAATGACTTATTAAGGACTTGCCTTGTGTTGGCAGTGGTAGGAACGTTAAGATGCCACCATCCCTTCCCTCCTTATAGGAACTCTGTTGTAAGGTATCAAGGTAATCAGAGATGTATCCATTATCATAACACAATATGATAAGTGCCATAAGTCTGAAATGACAAAGAAAGAGTAGAGATAGCAGTGAACTCAGTCTTTGGTCCATAAGACTTCATCGATGGAACAACAGTTCAGCTAGATGAATAATATTTCTTTAAGGAAAATAATGACATTTCATTAAAGAAAAAGAATTGGCAAGGTCATCCCAGGAAATGGAAATATTAAGACCCAATGAACCAAGTTTGGAAAGAAAAACACGCTGTTTTTCTGTACTGTTCTACAAAATCCAATACTTCACTTCTGAAATACATGACACCAATCATGTGTGAGTTTTTCCCACACCAAACAATTCTCCAATTTTCTGCAGACACCAAGTATGTGTCCTATAATTCAATTCAATTCTGATACCATCTACCTGGAGTTAATGTTAGATTCCACAGGCTAAGGGCTCAGTCCCACAGGACTGCCCCCTGCCACTTCAGATGCCAATCACAAGTCCAGATTGTCACCTAAGTCTCTCAGGACACTTCTGGGTTCCCGCATTCAATTGTCCTGCAGAATGCCTAGGTCTTGTAGCTAAAAATGCATGAAAGTCTTGCAATATTTTTCCTCCTTTTATGAAAAAGAATATCATGGGAAATATTTAATAATAAGATACTAGAAATTTTATACAACTTCTTATCTTGAAAGCCCAGATTTGGGAATTTCAGGATTATATTGCTATATGTGCTTGTTTTTTATCACTTCCTTCTCCTCTCTCATTTCCTCCTTCTCCCTTCTTTGTCTTTTTAGTGCTCTCATATACACACTAGTATCTGGAATAGCCTGTATGAATCAGAGCTGTACTTTTTAGGGTTGCCATAACAAAATACAATAGACTGGGTGGCTTGAACACCAGAAATTTGTTTTCTCACAGTTCTGGAGACTGGAAGTCCAAGATCTTGATGTCAGCAGATTTGGTTTCTTCTGAGGCCTCTCTCCTGGGCTTGTAAATAGCCACATTTTCCTTGTGTCTTCACGTGATTGTCCCTCTGTCTGTGTCATCTGTGTACTAATCTACTATTCTTATAAGAATAGTAGTCATACTGGAATAAGGCCCATCCTAATGATTCCAGTTTAATTTAAATACCTCTTTAAATTGTACCCCTTTAAATATAGTCATATTGTGAAGTTATAAGAGGGCTTCAACATATTAATTTGTGGGGCACACAATTCAACTCATAACAGAAGTCTTTTCCTTTTGTTGTATTTTTGCAGTGCTTGTACCTATGGTAAGAGTATTGACCTGGTTAAATTCCTTCTTGATCAAAATGTCATAAGCATCAACCACCAAGGAAGGGATGGGCACACAGGTAAGACTTTGGTGAAACATCACCAGTTTTTGATGCATATCAATGCTCAAGAACATTGGTGTGCTCAGAGGGAAGGGAAAAGAGGGAGTGGTCAACCCTAATGAGGAGGGATGTTTTATCAATGACATCATTTAGAATTGATGGTGTATGGTGACAATAAAAAGCAGACTGACTTTTGGTCAGTTTCATTATTGTGGTAAATTACCTATAGTTGACGCGTATTATGGCCCATACCAGGTACAGACTGATAACACTGCCCTGTCCTTGGTTTGCTGCTCAAGAAAAACACTTGTTTGGGGTCTTCGTTCTTGTACAAAGATGCCAACATTTGTTCTTGGTAATTTCAGTGCATGTAGAAATACTGAAAATTGAGCTAAACATAAGGCAATCTATCTAGAAGATCAACTAGAATAGGATACATCTTTTGTTTAAAGTATGTTGTGTTTGCTCAATAATAGAATTAATTCTTTATCAAAGAAATCTATCTTTGCTTTGTATCTCTGGCAACAATGCTATGATATGGTGATAACTGTCTCGAAAATTGGGGTTCAGTTTTCCTCTTTTCTCCTTTCATACTTTCATTCTATTATAGGATTGCACTCTGCTTGCTACCATGGTCACATTCGCCTAGTTCAATTCTTACTGGATAATGGAGCTGATATGAATCTGGTAGCTTGTGATCCCAGCAGGTCTAGTGGTGAAAAAGATGAGCAGACATGTTTGATGTGGGCTTATGAAAAAGGTATATTTTTCATCATTGCCTCTCTATAGTGATGCATTGAACTGTGTGCATAGATTATGTCAATGCATCAATAATTCTTTTACTTGTATGACTTGTACACCCCCATTTCCTCTGTAGATTATATTTGAGTCTTTGGGAACTTGATCAAAGAGTCCAATAGACCATCACTAGGGAAGGCAACTCCGGGGCTGCAGATGACCTAAACGCATTCTTGATACTGGCACTTTGAAAAGAGAATGAGCTATAATAGTCCTAGGTATTAGAGAAACAAAATTGTAATATGTAATAATAGTTACTTTCTTAGAGTAGACATAGAGCTAGACTTTATCTCTTATATAGGGGAATTTTTACGTGGATTCAAATTATTTTAATGAAATAAATACAAAGAAAGGAAAATATCTGTTACATCTAACCTTGCTAACAATGCCTGAACTAGAAAAAGTAAGGGAATCAATGATTAGTGCATATGTGTAAACTTACTTGAGCTCAAAGTGATGAAACTTTGGGCTTTGATATGAGAACACCTGGGTTTAAATCAAGCTGTGTTCTTTGATCTTTGATCATCTATCCTTACTGAATTTCAGTTTCTTCTGAAAGAATGAGAATAATCACAACTCCTACTTACAAAATTGTAAAGATTAAATGAGATAATATATGCACATTGATTACAACACTGGCTGGCACATAGTAAGTACTAATAAATTGGTAGTTCAGTACTGATAACAGTGGTAATAGTAGTAGTTCAGAAATAAAGATGATCAATAATGAGCTCTACATTTTAAGGGAGAGGAAACTAGGAATAATCAAAGGTGAAATAGAACCTTCATCATTGTTTTAAGATATAGTGTACCTCACCAGCGAGCTCTACATATACACATAAGCTCCTATGGAGTTTAAATTTTCAGGTGAAATGCAATAGTATACATTGTCATTGAAATCAGAGGGTTACAACTAAATACTGTAAAATATATCAAACTCTGCTGCCTGTCTTTTGCTCTCTTATTAGGATGTTTAAAGTACATAAAGAAGTGTTCTGTTTAAATGCTAGAATCTTAGATGTCCATGCTAAAAAAGTGTGGAAGATTTCTTAGGCTACCAATTTGATCTAAAAGGTTTTCTGCCTGAAGTGGGACATGAAATTCTATCAATTAAAAAAGAGATGGAATTTGATAGCTAGAAATGGGGAGTTGTAAACACATAGAGAGAAAGAAAAATATAGATCTGAAGACTGTTAGTGAATAAATGATTATAGGACTTACTTTAGTAGAGACACGTGAACAGACATGGTAAAGTAAGGAATGAGTTAGATGTAGCCCTATTATGTTTTATGCTTTTCTTTGAGTATTGTGTAAATACACATGTGCTTGCACACACATTTGCACATTATAGCTCGATGAATTGTCACAAACTGAACTCACATCCAACATCCAGTTCAGATGAAGAAATTGAATATGGCCAGCACCCGAAAGCCCCACTTACATTCTCTTCCAGTCATACCCCAGAGAGGGTACCACTGCCTTCTTGGAGTACAAATTAGCTTTGCCTCTCTCTATACTTTATACAAGTGGAATGTTATGGTCTATACATTTTTGAGTCTGGCTTCTTTTGACCAACAATTTGTGAGATTCACTCATATTATTTCAGGTAGTTGTATATTGTTCATTCTTGTGTAGTATAATGTTTTGTTATTATATCACTATTCATTCTACTGTTTAGGGGCATTTGGATAATTTTCAGCTGGGGACTATTAAGAATACTTTTGCTATTAACATTAACGTACATGACTTTTGATGAATATCTGGATGCATTTCTGTTAGGTATAAGGACCTTCCAATCTGTATAAAATAAATTCCAGGTAGTCCTGTATTTGAGTATCAGTTGAAGAATCTTACATATTCTGAAGCCTCAGGAGGGCTTACTAAGTTCTACTTACTCATCAAATTGCATTTATTCAAGTGATTCTCAGATAGTGTCTCTCAAGAAACTTGAGTCTCAGAGAAGATTGTTTACAAAGCATTAGTCTTCCGGAAGACAGCTCAGATATAGCTGCTCTTCACAGGGGTTGGCTTTGTTTGTTTTTAGTTGACTGAGAGTGATAGTTTAAAACTGGCTTTAGTTTTATTTTTGTGGAATTCCACACTTTAAGAAACAATGAATCATTGTGTAAGTTCCTAAGATTTCCTATCAAATGACAACAACAAAAATCTTTTAGCTTAGGGGATTTACCCACTGGTCTCTGCAACATCTGCCATACTTGTCACCCTTATTTGTTCAACTAATGTGCTAGGCATCAGTGTTGTATTTCATTATTACTATGAATTTTAACAAATTGAATGTTAGTACTCAAGAGACAGATGGATGCTTTGCATATGTTCTAGAGCAGAACAAGTCAAAACCAATAAAATGAAATTGTTGCTATTTTCTATTGCTAGAAAAATGTTGCATTGTTTTCCTGTGTTCAGGGGAGATTGAAATGGCCTCGTTAAAATATTGTCAACAGTGCACTGTCCCTGTTTTCTTTGAATAAAGAAATGCTTTCCTTTCTCCCTCAGAGAGGGAATCCCCAAATTAACTGATGTGGCATACTAAGCATTTTCCTGAGCAACTTGGAGATGGAGTTGAGGAAACACTTCATTTGAAGTTCCTTCTTTATAGGATAGAGATGTTGTAGAAATGGTCCCATCATGGTTTACCCCATACCTTGTTCTCTCCTTGGAGAGATAAACCAGAAGGAAGCTTCATAGCCAGGGTCTGTCTGTTTAAAAAGGACTACTTTTGGATGTCCCAAATTTAAATAGCTCATCCTAGTCTACCAGCTTGCTTGCTTGCTTGCTTGTTTGCTTGCTTGCTTTTTTTGTTTACCCTCTTAATAGAAAACTGGGAGTTTTTCTCAATAGCACCCGTCTCTGTTCTTCTAAGACAAATTTTTCACCTGACACAAAGTTTTTAGCTTACCCTCTGCTATTCTGATATAGCACATTCAGTTCAGGGGTGCTTTAGAGTTTTGTAAGAGTTATCAACTTCCTTTTGGAAACTCAGAAAAGAGTTTACTCACCATGGCTCCCTGCAGGATCAGATATGAAGAACAGTTTCCATTTACATAGCCCTTTTAACCTAAAGATATCAAAATCAATCTTGGAAATAATTTTCCTTGTGACCTTGATACTACACAGAAACCTACAGGTTAAGTTTCAATATTTCCCTGCAAGACTACTCAGAGCTCTAATTTTACAGTATTTAGAGTGTTTCCCCTCCTCTAGTTGGCTACCCCCTGCCCTCCCCACCGCCTTGTTTTCTACTATTCCATCTGAGAGTAGTGATAGCTGTCTCACTCACTTGGATTTGTTCTGCCCTTTCCCTGGGGTACGAAGGACTTGTATGAATCAATTTAAATTGGCCAGAAGAAATAGCCAGCAGCCTGCTTATGTTCAAATCCTCTGCCCTAATCACCAGTATGGAAAACCCACTGAAAAGACCTACATATAATCTTACGTCCATTGCATTAAAGATGAAACTGCCGAATTGAAAAGATCTCAGCCAATTAGAATTGAACACATAGCTCAATAGTGTGTCTGGCAGTTAGATTTGAAAAGGCTGCCTTTCACGAAGAAAAGCACTTCTTTATGTCAGGCTGTTTAGGGTCAGAAAATAACCCAAACTAGAAACAGAACTAAAAACTTCTTATTTGCTTCAGTACTGACACCAGTTAAAGTAATTTACAGAGGCTCCTATACTGATATCTAATTATGCAGAATACAATATTTGTATACATCAGAACAACTGTGATTCACAGTGACAGGGAGCTGCAGTTGGAGAATTAGTGAGTAAGTGAGCAAAAACAATAAAAATCAAGGCTCCTGTACCATGATATATACTTTGTTCATTCCTTTTGACAAGTGTAGTATGGTGTGAATTATTTATAGTAAACGTACTATAGTGTATTCTCTAAAAGTAATAAAGTCTTACAGTTGTGAGTTTCTACAGTTTTCAACCAGTAAAAAATAACTAAAAGATAAGAGTGGGGGAGGAGTTGAAGGAAGAGGTGGATTCGTTAAATTTTTTGATAAATCTTCATGAATGGGTTATAAATTCCCAAACTTCTTCTATATTGAATTCTTACCTATTGGGAGTTTAGTTACTTAGTTTAGTGAATCTTAGTTTAGTGTACTAGAGTGAATTAGCTCTGGGGTAGAAGAAGGACTAAATGAAAGATTTAGATGGTATTTCAAAATCTATGTGCAATTTTGTGTGTACTGGTTACGTTCTACATGTTTAGTTTCTCTTTTAAAAAATAAATAGAATGGCATGAACTCTCATTAGAATGATCAGAACTTTCATTTTTATAGGGGAGTAACACATTTACACACAGTAAAATATTTTTGAAACTTAATAACTATGTAAAAAGCCACACACACTGAATTCTACTCCTAAAACCAATATTGCACTGTATGTTAACTAACTAGAATTTAAATAAAAATTTGAAACTAAAAAAAACAAAAGCCACATACATTAAAATGGATAGTAGAAGAGAACTTACATTCATTACATGCCTATTACACATGCATATATATGTATATATAATTAAACAATCAAACTAACCCTTTAAATTGGTATTACCTTTCTATTACAGATTAAAAGTTTGAGACTTCAATCTGCCAAGTCACACTTGCCCAAACCACACAGCTCTTAAGTGGAGAGCTGGTACCAAACAGAGTTCTGTCTTATTGCAGAGTTTGCGCTCTTATCACCTCACTTGAGAATCAGATCTTAGTTCAGTTTCCATCCTTATTATATACTGACTTTTGGCAAGTTATTTAACCTCTCTAAGCCTTAATCTTCAGATTTAAAATGAGTAAATTAATAACCACTTTATAGAATTCTGCTGAAGGTTTGGGATAAGATCTAAATGTCTGGAACAACAGATTCTCAGTAAAAATAATGGTATCCATTATTATTAGCTGCATGGCAAAGTTTCAGTCAAGCTTCACATAAGTCCCAAA